ATATATATATATTGCTATTACAAACACACAAATTAATTCAGTATATAAAAAATTAATTATATTGGATTAGATCAGACATCCTTTTAAGTGTTATTAAAGTCAAATACTAATAGTCTCAAACTTTCGTGCTTCTTGTAATTATTTTCAATGAATACTTTATAATTTTTACAAATAATATGCAATTCAATTGAAATTTTATATATGATCTTGATATTTTAAGAATAATTATAAAATTATCTTCAAATGTTAAGTTTAACACATGTAATATTTCTATTTTATTGAATATTTTAATATATGTGTATATATTTAGAACGAGAACATAATCATAAATAAATCCTTTTTTTAAAATAAGAAAAAAAAACCATTGGCCTCAACACGAAATGAAAAAGACAGTTAAAAACAAATTCACACTGATGGAATGAAAAGGATAAAGTGCGTAAAGAAGAAAGTTTCGAGGAAGAATTCAAGTCTAGTTGGCATGTCTTGCCAATAGCGACGCGAAATTTTGGTCTGTATTAAAGAGAGTGTTAAGATATTAAATCCGAGAGCTTCGTCGGCTTCGGGTTTCTAACTAATTATGGAGTTCGCTGCTGCAACCTTACTCTTCCTCCCTCCTTCTTCCATTTTACGCCCGTTGCAAGACCCATCATCCCTATTCTGTCGGGCTAGCAATTGATTTAAGACTTCACTCGCAGCTGTGTGGATGCAAAATTGCACTGGAGAAATTTCTCTTACTTTGCTTACCTTACGAAGCTCTTTAGAGCTCTGGACTCTTGTAGAAGAGGCGACTTCCAAGGAAATAGGTGACTTTTCTGTTCGTTTTAGTCTATGCACGAGCAAGAAGATATTGAGCGATTGTAGTGATGCGTTCTTACCTGAAATCAGAGAATGAAGTTGGTTATAATGTGAACGAGAAAGAGTAGTTAAGGAATTTAATATCTGTGCCTAGAGTCAGAAGATATTACATTTGTTCTCTTTCAAAAATAAAATTCTTATTTCTTATCTAAATTTTTTTACTCTTTATAATAGTAAGAAATATTAAACGTTTGATAGAAATGATATTGAATCAAATAATGCAATTAACAGTTGCTATTCTCAAGATTAAATATAGTCTAAATTTTTCATATTTAATTTATATATATAATATATAATATAAATATAAGAAAATAAATACAATTTGAAATATCAAATAATGCTATATCCAGCTTAAATGAAGCGAAAATATTAAATTAAAATCAATATTAAAATAAAACATCAAATTTATTAAATTTTAAATTTGATAAATTTAAAAAATTTTAAATTGAAATTAAATTATTTTCAATGTCAGATAATATTAAGTTCAATTTTTTTTTAAATAATAATATTAATTATCTATATTCTACTTATTTTCCAAACAATTAAACAGCAAATATTATCCTCCTTAAAAAAATTATCTATGTACAGAATGTTATAAAATTATATCTATGAAATTATAATATATAAGATTATTATTCTAATTCTACATTTTTCATAGATATTGATTCAAATAACTTGCCGCAAAATTGATCTTGATCTTGAAAAAATCAAATATTGAAATTTTTTTTATTGTATTATATTTTATTTATCACAAGATTCAATTTTCAAAAGAAAATCATTTTCATGATTCGAAAATAAATCATTCTTAATGAAAAATGATATCTAATTCAAATAATTTTCAAAATTATTTTTAAAAGTTCGTAAATCTTTTTTGTTATAATAATTCGTCCCCTTGTTTTGTGATTATTACTATGTTATAACTATATTATAGTAATGTTATAGCTACATAAATCAATTAATGAAAAAGTATAATAATTTTTTCTTATTTTTTTTTGTATGCCTAATGAATACGGGATAAGATATAAAATCAGATACAACAATATAAATTCTTGATCACTAATTTTGTAAATAAAATAATATATAAAAATTATTTAAACTTTGATATTATTTTCCGAGACAATTTATTTCTAGATTACGATCTCGTATTGAATAGAATAAAATATAACAAAAAAATTTTTTTTATGAATTGAATTTTCAAACTCAAAATCAAATTATTTAAGTCAATATTTATCGTGATGATCTTGATATAATTTTATGATATTTTGTATCATTATTAGTTTTAAAATTAAAAAACTTTCGCAGCTGAAGATTCAATCTTCACCTCTATAAAAATTGAAAAACATAACTTATGCCAGTCCAATTCTAAAATATAAATATTTTGTATGATAATTTTTTTTATGAGTTTTTCAATTCAAATTATATGAATAACAAAATATGATGCGTTTTACGTATCTAATAAAATGCAATAAGTTATAACCGATTGTTATTTTGAAATGTGTAAATATATTTCTTTAGTAAATTAAAAATGTCATTGAAACTTCCACAATATCTATGAATCATGAGTCATGCAATTTAACGCAATATTTTACTGTCTTTAATTTACAAGCAATTAATCATTGAGATACATTATGTGATTGTGTGCTAACTTATAAAATCATTTCCATAAAATTTATTTTACGAGGCGTTAATTACTCTAAAACTATATATTTGCGAATTTAAAACTTTTTTGCTTGTTCGATGATTTTTTTATTATGCAATGCCTATTATAGTCGAAAAAATAAAAACTAATCATTTTTGATATATGTATGATCAGTTACAGTCTTTATATAAGAAAATTATGATTTTAATAAAAATTATATATAGAATATATAATATAGAAAATATGTAGAAAAATAAATTTTTGTTCGAAACAACGAGATTATAACAAAAATATGAGGAAAATTCTTAAGATTTTTGTGAAGAAAACACAAAATAATATCTAATATCTAAATTAAACATAATTATTCATTATCAAAATTATTTTTAATTTTTAATTATAAGATTTTTAATTATAAGAAATTAAATGTTATATTTTTATTACAACATAACAATTTTTTTTTTTAATATTAATTTTTTATTTTAACTAGTATACCTTTATAATGAAATTTGTAACAAAGTTGCAAATGTAGTATTTCAAGAATACAAACTATTAATGTAAAATATAATGAGTTGTAATGAGTTGTAATTAATATGTACATATTCTTTTCTTTTTTTTAAATATCTTTCATTATATTTTTCATTAAATCAACTCTCAAATTTTCATAATTTTTCATCTCTAAATACAGTTTAGTTTAAGAAATATTTTTTACAATAAGATAGATATAATAGAATAGAAAATCTGAATATTTATAATTGGAAAACTCTTTTTTTCATCTTTCACCATTACATTATATTTAAAAAAGAAAACAAAAAAAAATATTGAAATTTTAAATGATTTCATTCCTTTGAATTGAGATTGGTCTTAATAAAGTTGCTTCGTGCATGTTATACATTATATTATATATGCTATATATTCATTATGTTACGTATTTGCAATGTTTCATGTAAAATAGAATTATTCTTAATTTTGATTATATAATTTATATAAAAAAATTTTATTAATTATATAAGTTTAAATTCATTTACGATATATAACTTTTATATTATATAATATATATAATATTTTTATAATATATAACTTTTGATTGATTCTATATACATGTTTATAACGAACAGCTTTGTAATAAACTCGATATCGAAGCATACGTGATTTAATTAACTTCTAGCGTATCTTATAAAGACTTGTATTCGAATTAAAATAAATATGATTAATGGCATTGAGGAAAACATGGAAATGATAATAATAATAATGAACAAGGAAATAATAATCGAATATTTTTTAAGCGAAGAGTTTAAATAAATGTCAACATTCTTTGACTAGTCTGTCTCGAGTCACGTTAATTGTGTTGATTTGTTATCGAAATTGCATTACAAGAGTAAAAAAAAAAAAAAGAAGTAGTGAATTCGCAAGTTAAAATTTAGTTTTAAATTAAGTTTATGAAAACAATAAAAAATTTTAATCGTGGAATATTTACATTAGATAATTATTAGATAATATTATATTTAATAGACTTATTAGATAATTCAAATTGTCTGAGAACTATAATAATAGAATAATTTACAAAAATTGCAATAATTTTTTTTCAACATATAATCAATATGTTATTGCATTTTGATACATCAACAATATTAAAAAAGAAGAATTTAGCAAATAATTAAAAAATAAATTGCAGTTTTTAATAATTAAAATTTAAAAAATAATTTTATGGTTATTGAGTAGAGATATTGCAATATAACATAAAATTTAGTAGATTTTTTTTATATAAATTTAAAATACTAAACAGTAAATATCGTTTAAAAAATCAATCATATATATTTGTAAAAATAAAAAATTTTGTATACACAAATTTTATATACACATATATATATAATAAATATAATAAATATATATAATATATATAATATAATTGAGCGTATAATTAATAATTAATAAATTTTTCAATTAAATATTTGCAAAAAAATTTTTTATATAAATATTTTTACAAAATTTATTCGAAATTTTTCAATAAAGTGAAAATACTATAATATAATATATATAAATTAACGTAATATAACATAATCTCGAATTAACGTAATATAATTAATTAAATATATGTAATTATTTTTTATCTTAATAAGAATCTATATCAATTTTTTTTCCAAAAATACACATATGATCACAAAAATAAAAATTTAAAATAAAAATTTTAAAAGATAGTAACTTGAATTGAATTTCAACTATCAAACATTACCATAAAATTCCAATTAATTTCTAAACAATCTAATTTAGAAAAAAAATAAATCAATTATTGAAAAAATAATTTCCATCTATTCTCAATAGAATTGAAAGAACGTATCAAACTTCTCAATACTTTTTTGCAAAAAAATACACATAGAACGTACTTTAACCAATTTCAATGATACAATTAATGAGCATCTTAACGATTTCAAGCTATTACGTAACGAACGTAAACATCGTTTCTGGGAACGCGTATATTACGAGATTTGTGTAAATAAAATGTGTTGCGTCTTTCTTCGAAGTGAATCGATATACTGCCGCTTGTTCTATCAGGAAACGGAGGAAGAAAAAGAAAGAAAATATGAAGCCGGATATAATTTCTGAGAAAAGTCACGTGAAATAATATGATTCGCGATTACAAAGTTTTTTTTTTCTTTGTCTTTTGCAAATCGCGCTCTCTATTTTATTATTGGAGTTCGGAGCTTCATTAAACATTTTCAGGGATAGAATTTATGTAAAAATTAGATGTAACACATGCGTGCGCATGCGCAGGAAAAGACAAACATATTTATGTTATGTCTCATATTACGAGACTTGCCGAGGCAGAAGATAATATTTAATCCCAAATGAAAGAATAAAAACCTTTGATGCAACTAAGCTTTCATTGTTTGTCTTGATTATGATAATAATTCAGGTGGAACACGATTTTTATATAAAATGAAATGTATCATGAAACAGAGATATGATGTTTAAAAGATTTAATTATATATAATAAAAGAAAGAAATAGTTTGAATTTGATCCAGATTTTTTCGTTTAAATTTTTGATCATCTTATTTGAATTGTTCTATAAAATTCATGTTTTTAAATTAGGGAATATATTGTGATTAAAGTTTTTTTTTGTTGGAATTAAGATTTTTATTTATTTTTATTTTTAAAGAATTTTTTTCATTAGAATATATTCATTAGAATTATTTTTTCAATAAGTAAATCTTAATATTATATTATCTATATAATCTATATATATAATCTATATAATATAATAATATAATATAATATATATATAATTGATTAATAATTTATATAATTTTATACATATGAAATTAAAAATTTTAATTTAAAATTTATATACTTATATAAATTTATACATATTTATATACTTCTTA